GCGGCAGCCTCGGAGGCAGGAGCCGGGCGGAGCCGCCACCGCCTCAGGCCCGGCGGCCGCCAGGCCTCGCCCTCCGCCGCCGCTGCATGCGGCGCTGAGCCCCGCCTGCCCCTGCCCTGCCGCCGCTCCGGGCCGCCGCCCCGCGCGGGCTGCTCGGCTGCGCCGCCGCTTCCCTCCCCTCCCGCCTCCTCCGCCGGCGCCGGGGCCCTTGGATGCCGCCGAGATGGGCAAGGTGCTGTCCAAGATCTTCGGCAACAAGGAGATGCGGATCCTGATGCTGGGCCTGGACGCGGCCGGGAAAACCACCATCCTGTACAAACTGAAGCTGGGCCAGTCGGTCACCACCATCCCCACCGTGGGCTTCAACGTGGAGACGGTGACTTACAAAAACGTCAAGTTCAACGTGTGGGACGTCGGGGGCCAGGACAAGATCCGTCCCCTCTGGAGGCATTACTACACGGGCACGCAAGGGTTGATCTTTGTGGTGGACTGCGCCGATCGCGACCGCATCGACGAGGCCCGCCAGGAGCTGCACCGCATCATCAACGACAGGGAGATGCGGGACGCCATCATCCTCATCTTCGCCAACAAGCAGGACCTGCCTGATGCCATGAAACCCCATGAAATCCAGGAGAAACTGGGCCTGACCCGGATCAGGGATAGGAATTGGTACGTGCAGCCCTCCTGTGCTACTACAGGGGATGGACTCTATGAAGGGCTGACATGGTTAACATCCAATTATAAATCCTAATGAGAGAGYAACTATTTAGTCTACAAAGAATTAAAAAAAAATAATAATAACCCACTCAGCTTTCCGGAAGAATGATTCTCTACTGAAAAGTGAAACGAAAGCATCCATAGGATTATGACCACCTTTCTCCAGTTACCGCCCTTTCGTTATACACGCTGACTGGATTCCTGTTTTAACTCTTCTCGCTTGGCGTTAGGATGCTCTAATCTCCAATGTGACACGAACACAGGCACTAGATGCTATGGCAGACTTCCAGCAACAGGGAAAAGACGCGTTGTAGACTTGCTAAGTAACTTCTTTATTTTTTTTTTTCCTCTCTCTTGATAGCCTTTACGATGGTTTGATTATTTGGGGGGATGGTTGGGGGAGGGGAGCCATTTTCAGTGTATGCTTTCTGGTTCTACTTTTTTGATTACACTTTTTTTTTTCTCTTTTTCTCTCACTTGCTGTAGATTGCTACTTTTTTGCATTCATGCAGAATATGTTGATAGGTCTACTTCATCTAGTAAACAGAAAATTATTGCTTAAAATCAAACTGCAGTCTGTCTTTTTATATCGAGGACTTTTTTAAAAGTTCTGTTAATCTATAACTAAGTAGTGACTCTGAGTCTGTCTTCATATCTCAGACTAATAACGAGCCGAGATCTTGCCCAGAGTGGCAGATAGTGCGAATACCATTGTAATATGTTCAAAGTGCATATCAGGCGTAATGTTAACTAGGTAACGTAAGAACTGCTTTGAAATGTCAGCTGTGAAGTTCTGAACCATACATCATGCATGAGGAGGGATGCAAATAAGTTCCCCGTACTACATAGCAACCATATAGCAAATACAGCAGGAATGATGTAATAGTTCCAGGGTATATACTGTTCGGTTTTTGTCTTGCATTGCAAACTTAATGATGTTCAAGCTGCAGTTTTTATTACTTGTGTCGGTCTCCAGTTCCATGCAAGATACGTTCCTGCCAGAAAAATGCAGCAATAACGTGTAAGCCTTGCAATGACTTTTATTTTAGATCACAAGTGTTTAGGCAAAAATCTAGCACTGATTTTGTTGTCTTGCGATTAAAAACAAAAAATGCTTCACCTTCACTCTAAGACACTTGAAGATATCCTTTAAACCTCAAAAGGATTTTTTTGTTACTTCTGCAATGCACGTTTTGGAGAAAGGAGAACCTTTTTTTCTTTTTTTTTTTTTTTTTTTTTCCTTCATTTTGTAGACTCCCGAATAGGCAAGTTTAGTGCTAAGCTTTAATAGAGCTCAGTGTTTCTGCCACCCAAATAATTGCCGTTTTGAGGAAATCGCTTTTGGGTTTAGTTCTAAGAGGCTAGAGGTGACACACGAGCAGTGGCAGTCCTCGCCCTCCGCCTCGCTGGCAGTTGTTGCTGTGTCCTGTGGAAGGGAACGCTGCTGGCTCCCTGAAGCCCATTGAGGAGCTGGAATGAGAGCGGGAGAATACGACTATGAATGTAAACTTCCATAGCTGGTTCTTAAAGGGCACGCGGCTCCCTTGCCCTGTCACCGCTGTCGGAGGTGACGGGCAAGAACCCCACCCAGAGCAAGTATTTGTAAAAGTGTAAAATCTCCTTCAAGTATTAATAGTGGGTGCAAAAAAAAAAAAAAAAAAAAAAAAGTAGTAAAGCAGCTGGTTCTTTTTCAGCCTTAAGGATTAACTTTAGATTTCCTCGAGGAGTTAAAACTCGCTTGGGGAATTCTAGGAATGTATGCTACAAAACCAGAAGAAAATGGCTTTTTTTTTTTCCTTTTTCCAAGGGTCTCATTTTTTTTTTTTTTACATGAAATTGGGGGCATTACACTACATTTCTGCAGTGTTTACTCTGCATGCTAAATGCATTGTATATGGAGCTCTTACCAAAGATGTATGGGAAGATAAAAATACAGATTTTTGCTTCTGAAATCGAATGCTTTGGACCAATTAAAAATCACCTTAGAACGTGGCTCCAAAAGGAGACTTATCTTGTTGTGGGCTGCAAATGGGATTTAATGGGCTCTTGATACTAGAAGATAGAGCACTGATTGATTATAAACCTGTGCAAGTTAAGAGGCTGGAAAAACGAGCTTCACCTACAGTACAATAGCTCTTAAATCTCAGTCATACAGAAGAGGAGGTAAGACTTCACTAAAGTCTCTTTGCCATTGGAATATCATTGCTCTATTTTCTAGCTTTTTTAAATAAGTTTTTTTTTCCTTCTTCTGTTGATGTAACTTAACAAGTAGTGTGGTGGTATAAAGACTAAAAATACRAGAATATGGTTACTGTTTTCTTCTGGAGCATAAATAAAATAGCCAAGCACAAAGTAAATGCCTAAACTGGAAAACTTGAAGCTCTATTAATGGTTCTTGAACTTTCTTAAATCTACTCTCAGTCAAAATGAAAACTTAAATAACTTCATTTTCAGTCAACGTTGATTTATTATATTTTTCTCTTCAAATGCTGGGGCAGACTTCCTTGCTAGACTTCGCATTAAGTTGAATTCACAATTTTGTATTTCCTTAGTAACTTTGTTACTTTAGATAATTTTGTTTTTGTAGGTGAAGGAAACTGATTATGCTTCTGTTTTTTTTTTTTATGTCTTTTTTGGGGGAGGGGGAGAAAAAGTTACTGAAACATGTGGCAGAGACTTCAAAAATAAACAGCCATTGCTACTGAACAAAACACAAAGTTTTCACTTTCCAAATGTCCTTTATAGGTTATAGCTGAACCTCACTACAAATTAGTGGCTCTAAGGCAGTGCACATAGCCTGTAGGAAAAAAAATGGGGCAATCTGTAAGAAATCCAACGATTTAAAAACTAATCTGAAGTTCAAGTGCATCAATTTGTGTTCATGTGAATTTATGGAGTAAGTTTTGAATGACGTTAATCGTGTCCAATAAGTGAATGAGTTTGTAGACTGTGATCTCCCTGCCTAAAGTAACAGGAATTTTGTGTTCTCAATATGGCTGTAGTGTTGGTAAAGAACTAATAAGCAGAAAATAAAGCAATTATACAGTGGAGCTCTCCTGGTATGTTACTTATATTTAATTATGAGAGGAGCAGAAGGGGGCAAGATGGTACCAGAGCAGCGCTTTCTGCTAACATAAAGAGGCCTCTGTTCTATATTTCAGAGTTTTCAAAGCCTGTCTGCAATTCTTCCTAGACTTAGCCGAGTGACTATTTTTATAAACAGAAAGGACGATCCTTCCCTTATCCTCCCACTTTTAACTTAATAGTTGTGTTTTAGCCAACTTCAGTGCCAAGTTTCTGCTGGCTCCGGCGACAGCGCCGGCGCCTTGCGCGCGGCCGCGGGGCAGGGCTGCYGTTTGTCAGGACCTTGCAGGGAAGAGGGGACGCAGGGGCTGCCRCTGAGCAGGGCACGAGGACACTGGTCCCGCGAGGGCCTCGCTGGCTGCGGAGGGAGGACGTGGGGTGGAAAGAGCTGCTGCAGGCAGGGGGGACAGTGCCTGCGAACAGGGCGCGCGCGGAGTGATGCGTGCGGAGCTGGGACGTTTCTGGTGGCCAGGGAGGCGCTGACGACTCCAGCGGGTGCGTGGGGACAGGGAGGAGGCCGCGGGCTGCGGTTTCTCACAGCCGCGGTGCCTCAGGCTGAATGAAAGGGAGACAGAAACGTAGCAGGAAACACCGAGAGGTTCAGGCTGCAGCTGGGGCGGCAGCCGGGCCGCGTCTGGGCCGGACGTCCGGCAGGAGGGACGGAGGAGGAGGAGGAGGGTTGCAGGTACCATCCAGCACAAGCTGCAAGGCCAGGCGCGAGCAGCACGGAGCTCGTAGGGTCGCGGGGCTCGAGGGACGGGCCAGGGCACTTGGTTGAGCACCTGGGCGATGCGATTCGGTTCCGCACTTGGGAGCGAGGCCTGGTCCGCAGCGTGCGGTGCTGCAAAGGAACCGGGGCCGCCTGAATTAAACCCGGCAGGTTGTGGACGAGGCGCCGCAGTGCAAAAACTCCCGTCTCTATCAGGGCAGCACTTAGTCATTTCTCAGAAACGTCAGCGGGCACCAACCACCTCACCCGGGCCTCCGCGGCGCCGCGTGGGGACCGCTCCGCTCCGTGAGTCACACACCAGCACTCAGTGCTTCTTCTTGCCCAGTCACAGGGCCACAGACCTCGTGGACRGGGATTGGAAAAAATCTACCTGGCATCTCGCACTGGAAACTCATCCATGTCATGTCCCTCGCAGCACATGTTCCTTGAATTTTATTTATTTTTTTTTTCTTTGGTTTTATTAGTTACATCATTAAAAAACAACTAGTCACAAGGCTGCTGATCTGCGCTGGCCGGTCGCTGACGGACCCAAATGTTTTTCCCTCCATCCTGGGGACCTGAAGCAGAGATAACAGCAGCCAAGGCTGGAGAACTTGAACATGGAAGCGGTGTCCATGCAGGCACCGTGACGCAGTCTCGACGCTAACGCAAGTTTACGTTTTAATCTGAGGTTTGTTTCTAATATCTGGCCTGGCGGGCTGAACATATGGATCCCTAAAGCATTTYGGGGGAAAAAAGCAGAACTTGGTGCTGTGCTGGGGGAAGTGGGGGTCTGGGAGCTGCTCGGCCCCGCGGGCCGCCAGCGCCTTCCTCTCCCGCCACGGCAGGAGTCTCCTCGAGACCTCGGCTTCCCCGCGGATCCTTCCCCTGCCTTGGGCCCAGACGAATCACTTGGGCCCCACCACCGATCTCACCTTCAAAACTTGGAGCACTGTGAATTGTAGCATAATTTTCACCCTGCCTTCAGTTTGGGGAGGGTAAAAAAGGATGAGTCAGAGACCTGTGGTATTCAAGTGACTTTTTTTTTCCTTTTCCTTTTTTTTTTCTGCCCTCGGACCGCATGAAGCAGCCATGTGGGCTCATATGAAYGGCAGCTTTTAATGCCTGATAAACTGGATGTGCTGCATATATTCCAGGAAGGCACTTTCCTCTTGCTTAAGAACAGGTATCTCTGGCCTCCTTAAAAACAGAGGAGGAGGAAGAAAAAAAAAAAAAATCGGTGCAGGTATGAGTCACGGGCGGGCGCTCCGGCTGCACAGGCTTGCACAGGGCTGGCGGGCTCAGGCCGGCRCTTCTCCCAAGAACTCTGCGTGCTCTTCCAGGACACACGCTCCAGTTCTCTTTTTATGCGGGGCAGTTTGATGAGCTGCACCCTTCAGAACAGCGTTAGTCTAAGGAAAGGACAGACTGGAGCAGGATTTAAGGGGTGGCTGCTTGGTGAGCAGGAGGTGCAAGCGGCAACACTGGAGGGTGTCGCAGGGAGGCCCGGCCAAGCCGCAGACTGCTGCAAACAGCTCCGTCGTCCCCACGTGGCTGCGGGAGCAGGAAACTGAGGTTTAGAAAGCGAAGGCAGCTCCAGAGCTTGTTTCTGGCTGCATCGAGTTAATCCCTTGCTCAAAAAACAAAAGGGCAGCGCGTCAGGTGTGAGCTTTGTCCCGAATTTCCATTCCGGGAGAGCAGAGGCTTTGCTGGAAATCCCACCCTGGGATCGTCGTGCGGACGGCTCCTCCACGCCAGGCACCTGAGCCCCCCGGGGTGGACAAGAGCCCCGGGGACACGTGTGCCGCCTGGACTGTCCCTGTCACCGCGCGGACACTGTGCTCCTTRGCAAAGGGATGGGAGCAGCGGGGTGGCCGGGGCACGTGTCTCCTTGGGCTGTTCCAGAATTGCTGCTCTGCACGTGCCACGTCCCTGCCAAGGAAGCTGCGGTGCCTGGGGCGGCCCTGGAGGATGCGTCCGGCAGCGGGAGCTGTGGGAAGCGCTGCGGGAAGCGCTGCGGGAAGCGCGGCCGGCACTGAAATGCTGCTGCTGTTATCCCAAAGCAGTACCCGAGGAACAAGCTCGCGCCATGGATCACGCGGGCCGGCCGCTCTCCCACTGAGGCACCGAGGTCAGCGTGGCGCCCACAGCTCCGCAGGGACATTCGCT